GCTTAAAGAATAGCTCTATTAATTGTCAATATCGTAGCCATTTCCTGTTAAAAGAACTATGACACACTTGTTGAGGCAACGGATATAGGAAAGGTTTCTTATCGGATTGTTTACCGAGGTCGTATCGGGATCCGCCACAGTAAAAACTGTATTAGACCCTTATCATACCGAGGCAAAATAAATAAGCATAATTGGATCCTCTTTAATCTCAACGTTGGGTTTAAAGTAGATTTTTTTTCTTTGAGCCTTGGAGGAGGTTCATTGGGAGAACACAAAGAGATTAAGGTAAAGGATTTATTCCGGTAAGTACGGAACGCTCTAGATGTTTTCCCCGGATTAGTTTGGAATACTGAATACTAAGCGACTGCAATGTAATAAATAAGTTTATTTATTTATTTAACTTTTAGACAGATCTTTTGTATATCCGGATATAATACTTGAGGCATTCCTTTCCAATCAAACTACCGGGTGATGCGGAGAGAAAAGAAATAGGTGGAAAAACAAAGAGTACACTAAAATAAACGACGACCCGAATGGCGCAGTGGGTAGTGTACCTGGCTTCTGCGCCAGAGGGTGTGATTGTGGTGGGTTCGATCACGACAACTGGAAAAATTTTGTGTGATGAACATAGTGTTTTTCTAGTGTCTGGGTGTTTATACAGGGAGGCTTTCCTAGTGTATCCATTTTTTTTTATTAAATTCTAGACATAAATAATGTTATATAAAAATGGTAATTACTTTAAATGACTCCTAAGTAATTAATTACATTCATTTGAACTTATCTCAAAAAGTGCGTGATTTATATGCAACTCATTTATTTTACGGGCGATCATTCATAACTAACACGCACAAAGTTAGTTTGTGTGCGTGAACAGTAACATTTTGGTATTTATGAATGATTACCACGTTGTCAACAAGTTCTGTTTTTTAGGGAATAGAATGATAATTTTTTTGAAAAAAAAAGTTTGTTTTTATTTCAATAAACGATTATACTACTGAGTCTGAACCTCCTGTGTAAATTTGGGCACCTTTAAAAAAACTTCCATGTATATGTATAATATGTGTTTATTTATAGAAAGAAAAATATGTTAAAGTATGTTTATCAGTTAGCTAGTACCCATAGTACAAGTTGTGTAAAAAAAATGTGTGTTCTAAAATATAAAAGAATACATTAATGCGTACATTGCGCAACGCGCACAAATACAAAAATGTTATAATAAAAACGACCATTGCAAAACATACATATTTATGTATATTTGTGTTAATACACAAATATACAGAAATATAACACGTTACATGTCAACTTAATTATAATAATTAAATAAAACGAGAAACTGATGACGCGATTGATCTGCCAACTAATTCGGAAACAGTTTCTGTACCGTGATCTTGAACGCATAACGGTCGGTAGTCCTCATAATTTCGAATGGAAGTGCATTCCACAGAAGAATAGATTGGACAGGAAAGTAATATTGGACAAATCCCGAGTTGTAGGAAACTGGAGGAAAGGGTTGGTTGAAGAGGGAAGGGTTCTGTCATGTTTAGAACAAAAAAATGTAAGCATGGAGCAAATTAGGTGGGAGGATTGGAAGACACGACATGTATCGAATGATGGCTAGTGATTACACGCAAACTATGTCGTTTACGAATGGCCAACTTATTTGGTTGCGAGCATTTCCTGCCTCGCACAACCACTATGTGGAACCAGCTGCTGCCGGCGGTCTTTCCGAACCGTTACGACATGGGAACCTTCAAGAAGAGAGTATACTCTTTCCTAAAAGGCCGCCAACGCATTTTTAAGCCCCCGGATGTTGCAGGTGTTCATGGGCGGCGGTAATCACTTACCACCAGGCGAGCCTCCTGAAGTTTAATAGCAAAGTTTGCAAAAGTTTTTAATAGTGAAGTTTGCCCCTTTTCTCAATAAAAACAAGTATAATAGTAATTAAGGCATACTTTAGGCGAATGCTAAAGACTGCAAGTATATAACATCATTAGAATGCAGGACTCGTGAAGAAAGAGCTTGTGCATGGAGGGAAGTGTCCTCCAATCGACAGTGGTTCAACGAAAAGGCTCGAATAATGCACGGACGAGCCTGCCCATTCGTGCAACAGCCGAGGCTGCTGCGAGGCCCTATCACCGCAAAAAACAATATAATTACTATCAAAACATTATAACTATCGAAATTATGTGAACTAAAATTTATTCAGTTTAAATATGGTTATTTGGAAATTTATACACTGTAAGTAATATAGACAACTGAAATATTAAAGCTCTTATTTAAACAAAATATTACTATATACAGTGGTTAAAATTAATTTAAGTTGTAGGTTATTTTCTTGCCGTGTGAATTTATGTACTATATTACTTGACTTATTTACGGTTATCGATAATTTATAAAGCGATTATTAAAGCAAAAACAAATTAATTAATTAACCAACTAGGATTATATTAGGTCTAGTAATAAGTAATGTTGTATTTTAGTATTCGTTTAAATGTCGCAAAATTTCCTACTTGTCGCTAAATTCATCAACATAACATACAAACACGTTGTACATAGAGAAAGTGTGAGTTAATTAACAAGCTTTGCTCCAAAAAGTTTTTGTTTGAACTGTACTGCTATTTTGCTAAACTAGGGTTGAAAAGATGGCAGATGAAAAGCGTACTCGTTATTGTATACTTTGCGAGTTCATCTCTCGTTAAAACCGTTTGCCGATTTAAGAGCAAATTGTTATCGTGCTTCGTGCTGTCTGCGTTGGTGGCTTATGTTTGGCAGTGGGCTCAAACAGACTGACAAATGAAACAGACGAATGATCTTACCGGAGATGAAAAGTGGGTGCTCATAGGTTAATCTGAAAAGACTGCCTCAAGGGATGGATGAAAGCGCAGCCCATACCAAAGTGTGACTTGGATGCGAAAGTAGTGATATAGCGTGTTTAGTAGAATTTTAAAAGAGTTCCTCAATGTGAACTTGTAACGAGTCAAACATATCATTGACTCGTGTCAATTGTATAGTGCGCAATTACAAAGGTGAGCACGAGTCTTGAGAGACGAACGCTGATTTGTTGGAAGGGCGTAATTCTTCTTCACGATAATTGATAATTCATCACCACGACCGCGTACTGCAATGGAAAGACTATACTGGTTTGGAATGGGAAGTTCTAAATAAACCTGCATATTTCTTATTTAGAGAGCTTTTTGTAAAGTAAACCTTTACACCGGTAATTTTGTTCTAGGTCGGGCGCTTTGTATCAATCCATACTTAACATTATTAATGCGAAAGTAACTCTGTCTGTCTGTCTGTCTCGCGTTCACTCCAAAACTACTGAACCGGTTTAAATCAAATTTGGTACACAGATATAGCCTGAGAAAGGACATAGGCTAATTTTAATTGGAAAAAGGTGTTGTGAAGGGCTTCAATGCGAGCGAAAAGCTATTATTTAATGTATTTTACTCCATCGCAACAAATTGACGTATTTTATTCCTCTGCCTTCCCTGCTTTGCCCCAAGACCACTACCCAGAGTCCACGGGGGGCAGGACAACTAGTGCTAAAAAGCGGGAAACCTTTCGAACCCCAGCGATGGATCTAACTAACACACCTTTCTAATCGTTGAATATAACATATGGAATGAATAATTGAAAATACAAAAGTTGATTCAAGATGCAAGAAAATACATTATAGAGTACCAATATATCTATCCTCTTTCAAAAGTTTTAATATTTATCAGTATCTTGGTTATACGCGCGAGCAGTGCGCATCGCGCAGTATATCCCACTCAGTTTTATGCCCCAGTTAAAAACTACGACGCCATTTTTAGTAGACCCGTGGGAGAAAGTTATTCATACTGGTGGGTTCGTTCTGATGTAATACGTGACTCAGAAAAAAATACACGTATCGAGTACTTATGCTACGGTCTACGAATATAGAACTATACCTACGTACGTCATATAACGTAATAGCATAATAATAAGACTACTACAGTATTGTTATGTGAAAGAAGATGAATAGCCGTCTTCATCTTCTTAATTAAGGAACTCTTTAATAAAACCGGCCGAGTACGAGCGAGACGGAAAAAAAATATGCGACCGCCCCTTTTTCTTGTTATAGCAACAACAGAAATCCATCATCTGTGAAAATTGTAACTATTACGGTTCATGAGAGCTTGGTGACAGACTGACAGAAAGACAGCGGAGTCTTAGTAATAGGGTCCCATTGGGTACGGAACCCTAAAAAAACATAAATTATAGATATAATACGTAGACGTAATCAAATGATTTGCGAAAAGAAATTAAAAATCCAATAAACAGATGGATTTATAAATAATTATTCGGTTATTTTACATTCGCATTATTAAAAATGCTTTATATTGTAGTATTTATTTATCTCATGTAGGCAAATATTTGCCAGCTTATTTTCTACGCATTTCGCTTCGTCCTTTGATTTTTCAGTACATCCTTTGTCTGTCTTGATCTCAAAACACGCTAAGGGGATTGCTTCTGACATGGATACTTGACAAGGGTTCCGTCGAACGCTGTTATGATTCGGCCAGCGTAATGCTTTGTGCGGTGTCTACAAAAATACGGTTTCAACCGACTCAATACGGTTATTGCAGCCGGGCAAAATGAATTCGACTCTAAGACTCAGATAATTAGATCTGTTTTATTTGAACCGTTACGGGTTCTATAAATGGATTGATCGCATATCATCTGTTACTTTTGTAATGTGCTACGAAGGTCGTTTTATATAGAAACTTTTCCAATAACCAACTCTTTTTTTCGATTGTACTAATTTCTTATTAATATGAAAGCAGCAATATTTTCGACTTTTAGCAAAGATTTTTTCGTCATTAATGATGTGATTCCTCTATATCTCATACATAATTTCCTTTTAATAATTGAGAAGAACTTTCTGCTTGGGAAAGACATCAATTGTGTGCAATTAAGTATGTGTGTCAGTTGGCCAATAAAAAATATTTTCGATTCAATTTGGGATTTAATCTTTATGATATTGTAAATTTGGAGAACACGGAAAATAATTTGTTTGCTACTGTTATATCAGGTTTGCTTTGCTTGCAACGTTGTCCGGTACACTGAAATGTGTTTTCACTTGTTAGGACGGCAACACGTAGATCAAATATGCATTATTTTGTGGGAGAACTGGCAGGGCAGATACCTGATGTTAAGTGGTCACAGCAGTTTATGGCGGAACGCAAAAGTTTACATAGAGTAATCGTTCACCAGGTGTTTTTTTTAATTGCCTTACTTTAGCATAACATCATCCTGTGTTGTAAGGACAAACACCCGGATGCGAAACAACTATCTGTGGGTCACACAAATAGTTATCCCTTGTGGGGATCGAACCCACCACCCTTGACTCCGAAGCCGATACCTTGGCGACTGCGCCACGGAGTCAATACCAAAGTCAAATAGAATTTTACCGCAGTAACGTTTAGTTTACGTTTGTAACTTGTTATATTTTAAATAATTTAATTTTTTCAACCAATAAAAAAATCGGAACGTAAGACGATATATTCAGAACAAGCTAAGCTACAGTAAATGTTTTTAATCTGTCGGATTTAGGAATATATTAATTAAATATATTTTCAACTAATAAAAAAATTCGGAACGGACGACGATTCAGAACAAGCTTAGCTGCAATAAATGTTATGATCACTTGTGGTTACAAATATATTTTCAAAAAAAAAAAAAACCTACCTTTACTTGGCAATTCTCACCGTGGCACTGTAAAACGAGACAAACAAGGGCGTGTAAAGAATGAACATGTTATCATTCAGTCAAACTCAACATAGCTAGCTGCGTTACTATTACAGCGTCAAACTACATGTACTGATTTTTATTTTTTTAGTGCTCTGCACCCCAAATGATAATTGGCGCCATCTAGTGTTTTATATTGAAAAGTATGCACACTAATGGCCTTACTATTTTTTTTTTGCGGCGAAATTTACCATCATATTCGAATAATATTTTTCATTCCCTGAAAACAGGGATAAAAGGAAATTTTCAAAAAATGAAATCTAGCTAGATCGATTTTTCGCCCCCGAATCTACGCACATACTAAATTTCATGAAAATCGCTGGAGCTGTTTCCGAGATTCCGATTCCGATTATATTTATATTCCGATTATATTTTTTCTTATTATTACGTCGGTAAGATCGAAAAATATTATGCATATTTCATTACTCAGTAATTTGTATCTAAATGTAATTTCCAAAATACACGATTTACCAAAAACAACAAACCGAGCATAGCTCGATCCTCCAGGTACTATTATCAAATCTTTCATTATTTAGTGTCGTCGTAGTTTGGCAACTTATTCAAATTTGTTGAAGCGGATACAGCATTGGGTATCGTTCGTTCGCACCTACCTGGTAAATGTTAAAATACTTTCACTATTAATTTAAGTGCCAGCCTCTGCACTATGGATGACGCTCGCAACATTCTTGGCTGTTGCACGAATGGGCAGATCCGTCCGGGGAAGTACCGCTATCTCAGAACACCGGCGTGAATCGGAAGTGTTATACTTCTGCATTTCGTCTGATGAGAGACAACCAGAGCCCTCTTCACTAAGTGGTGACTCATCTGCAACCTTAAGCACTTGCACTTTATAATAAACTTAATGGCTGTCTTTTTCCTTCTAAATATCCTTACTAATATTATAAACGCGAAAGTTTTGTATGTATGGATGGTTGTTTGATACTCTTTCACGCAAATACTACTGAATGGATTTTAATGAAACTTTACAATAATATAGCTTATACATCAGAATAACACATAGGCTATAATTTATATAAATATTTTTATATATATCTGTTCTTCTGTCTGAATGTTACGCCTTCTGCCTATTCTACGCAGACTTAGTCGCGGGCCGCAGCTAGTGTATAAATATACACGATAGTTTATTTAATATAGGATTATTATTAAACAATTTCTACTAATATAGGATTATTGTATTAAAATTTGGCAAAGAAAGCCTTCATAAGTTGCATGACAAGCTTTCTTACGAGGATAATAATTATAATATTTGTATGAGAATGACACTAATGGTTTTCTCTATGTCTTTAAATTTGGGTAACTTACCGTTGCCATGCAATCATCACCAGTGCACTGTGTGAAACGTATTTTAAATAATTTTTAATCAAGTCTACTATTGACATACTGTGAAATTGTCGTGCTTTGAACAGTTTTATATAATTGTGCTGAATTTCCATTCTTTCGGACGTTTGGAATCGGATGAATTGTGAATTTTAAGATAGATGTAACAGCCTATATGTATATCCCACGGTTGGGCAAAGAACTTTTCTGTGCAGATTGCCGGACTTCATATATTATGTATCTTCGAAATATTTTTTTTAGATCCGTTAAAAATATCTTTTAATATTTATAAATTTTATATCATTTATAATAGGTCAACAACACAGCAACACTGTGTCACCAGAGAGAAGATCAAAGAGTTTCATACGTTATTCATCGTTAATTAAATTTAATATATTTATCAACGAGTATTAATTGCACGCTAAAACCATTATGTAAATTACTTTCTTACAATGGTAAACTCATGAATTAAAAGACAGCCGAAACGTACTGAACTAACACAGTTGGCGCCCAAGCACTGAAAAACAAAAAAGATTGTTATACACTATTATATAAAACATCAAACCATGCAGCGGTGTTCTTTTACGGTATAATACTAAACTATATTTTCATTACTTTGTATCTTTTAAGTATAAACTAGCAAAGCCAAGCGAAGATACCAGTATTCAAGTTAACGCAGATTGCTATGATTTGCTTGATGCATTACAATCTATAGAGGCGAGCCTGAGATGAAAGGAATAGGTTTTTAAGTTATTGCATAGTTTTTATCGCGGGCTTTGAGCGCGGCGACCGAATCAAGAAATTCCGTAACGATAATAAAATCTAACACCACCCACTCCGCCTACCATGTAAGAGGAAAGATTTGATTTTTTGTATGCATTGAATAGGCTCCGAAACTACTGAACCGATTTGAAAAATTCTTTCACTGTTGGGAAGCTACATTATCCCCGGATGACATAGGCTATATTATATTTTCAAAAAACTAGGGATCCTTACTAAAACTTCAATAATGTAACCCAAAGTGTACAAAAATTACCTAAAATATTCTTTACATCGAAAACTATTGATGATAGAATAAAATAATGTACTACGAATTTGCAAAACACATCATTATTTACAAAAAGTGTCGCGACAGCATATGTCTAACTACTTATTATAGTTATGCCACAATAAGTGTTTTTTTATTTTAAAATTTTGTCTGAAATGCCATGAAATAAAAGGCTCTCTATTTGTATCTTGGTATTAATCTTTATAAAATAAATTACTTCATATTTAAGGCTGTTTCAGTATCTTTATATAATTTTTTGAATTATCAAATTCGGACATTCCATTCGAAAGATATCACAAGTTTAAAAATGTTAGTATATTGTAATTTAACTATCCAAACAGCTTAGTGACTGACTTAGTAGTTCTTATCATTTTTGTAAATAATAAATTATCTATAATTAGTTATAATATATATAAATATTTATATTATTAAAAATATTCAAAGAAAAAAAAATGCTGCATAAATAAATAATTATAATTGCATAAGTTGATAAAAGATGCTATGCAATAGCTTTACCGCGGCAGTTCCCGAGTACCACAGGTTTTTTTTTAAGTTCAATAGGTCTACCCGAGCTGGTCCGTTCATGTAAAAGCAAAAATCCCAGTATATTTAAACAATAGATGAAAAGAAAAGGTTTGATAAGCTTTAGAAAAGATAAAGGTTTGATAAGCTTTAGGAAAAAGAGTATAAGTTTTATTTGGAACTAGCGACCCGCCCCGGCTTCGCACTGGTGCAATGGATTATGCATAAACCTTCCTCTTGAATCACTCTATTGCGTAAAAAAAGCTGCATCAAAATCCGTTGCGTACTTTTAAAGATCTAAGCATACATAGGGATAGACAGACAGCGGGAGGACTTTGTTTATACTGTGTGTAGTGATGATAATTCATTTAATAAACTTAGCGCATAATAGACAGTCGTGCAATATATTAAATTGTTTGCAATACACAACAAGTAACTTCTATTGAAAATTGTACAGTTCGTTGACGAGATATTTTTGTTTAAAGTAAGATTAACATTAATATGAAATTCTTATTACTTACAAGTCCTTTACATTTGCTTCCAATACACTGTAATTATCAACAGATTATAAACTTAAGGGTTCTTAATTATCATAAACTTGCGATAATCTTAGCGTAGCTCGAATTATAATATGTCACTGCTTGGATCGTCGAGTTTCATGGAAAGAGCCTTATTAATTTTTATGTGAGAAAGTGGCAAGTGGCCTGGTGGTGTTAAGTGATCATTGCCGCCCATGTACATGCGCATGCATTTCCACCTTTTAGTAAATATAAAAATAAAATAAAAAATATCTAAATAAATAAATAGTTCTTTGAATTTCGGTCTCACATCTGTGTGTGTAATCATATCATCTATGTAATAAAACAATCATACCTCGTTTTTACACGATTCACCCGCACACTGGAAAATTTAACAAAATATTTATTACTTTGAAGTGATCCATTTAAATCCAACGTAAATTGCCGTATAAGCTGTTATTTTGTAATTTCGACTAATTTTCAAAACTTTGCAAGGCCAAGGCCTTTGCCCAGCAGTGGGACATGTATAGGCTGATACTTTACTTTTTTTTTGCAAAACTTGTATGGTGAAGCAGTAAGCAACTATACTAATCGTTAATGACCACCATCGCCTAAAGACATCTGCAATACTAGAAAATCAGACTATGTATACTCCATGAAACAAAAAGTGCCATAGTATAATTGCCCAGTAATTGGAATCAAATAAAATTTTTCCTGAGGACATCACTAAAAGTTGAATGTTTGGGTGATGTAAGTGTGATTCAACTGCTTATGAATGCACATCAATATATAGATTTGTCTCATCTAACACTTACAACCCAGAACTGTCGTACGGAATTAATACAGGCGAGGAGATACAGGCTTGTGAGGCATGATTTTCATCTAATAGATGATCTGTTTAAAAATTCAACGGTAAAGTGAAAGTAATGTAACAGCCTTTACATGTCCCACTGTTGGGCAAAGGGTATCAGGGCTTAGTCCACCGCGCGGCCAACTGCGGATCGGTGGGCTTCACATATCTTTGAAATATTTTTTTTTAAATATGCAGGTTTCATCACGACGTTTTCCTTCACAGCAGAGCACGGGACAAGTCAGCACATAAAATTAACAATGTCATGGCTGGCGACACCGGGGATCGAACTCAGGTTGCTTGAGTATATTGAATTAAAGGCAAGTGCACGGACACATTGAGTTATCACGGCTCAGTTTGAAATTTGCGCGAAGATTTTATCATAATTTTATACAAAAGATCAAACCTTCGCTATTGAGGATTATTAAGATTTATTAATAATTAAGCAACAAGTAACAAACAACACAAGCAACTTACAGCCCCTTGACACGATGTTCCATCACACTGCAATAGAATAAGTCGTTAAGTTTTGTTAGTTATCACAAACTTTCTCGTTTTGATATTAGAATTTCTAGCTGATGAAAATGAACAAACTTCTAGGGTTGTTTAAACTTCTTTTCTAAAAAACTTGTTTCTGTTGTTGGCATACGAACATATGAACTTCAAGAGTGAACTTCTTTTCGTATATTCGTATTCGTATATTGAAAGAAAAATAATAAATAACGTCCTAGAGGCCCTTGAACGGTCCTCGCAGATAGGACTGGTATGTGTTACCGATTTATCTATGTTAATTAAGATATTACCTTCGTATTACAAGATGTGCCTGTACACTGGAAATTGTAACAAAAGTTTAGTGACACTTAGTTTACATTATATAAAACAAATAATATAATAGCCACAGTTTTCAACATGACTGTAATTTAAACAAATCAATCAAAGCAATCCGAATTAAAAGCAATTGTAATAACAATATGACGCTTGCTCTCTACTTAGATGTCTCACGATTGCTGTCGACGTATTACTTATATTGTTTCCTCGAAACGATTAGTGGAAGAAAAAGATCAGTTACGCCCGGTTTCCAAAACACTGATCATCGTAGAAATTAACTAATCACCTGTCAAATGGATTTTCAAATGTTATTTGAGTTGCCAAAAGGATTGTTAAACTCTGAATTGATCAGAATGATCTTCTTAAGTGTTTCAGAAATCGGGCGTTAATGTAAGAAAAAGTAAACTACAATGAGGTACGATATTTGATGTTCAACTCTTAATAAATAAGTCTGAATTGAAAATCTTTTTGAAAAAAAAAATTCTTATTAAAAAATTCAAATGTAATAAAATTGTATGTCTATATAGACACGGGTAGAAGTAGAGAAACAAAATAGTTTCTTATTTAAACTTGACTAAAGAATGACTTTGTATGAAGCGTGGCACTGGCCTGTCTTTAACATATTTTTAGGGTTCCATACCCAAAAGTTAAAACGGGACCCTATTACTAAGACTTCGCTGTCTGTCTGTCTGTCTGTATGTCTGTCTGTCTGTCTGTATGTCTATCTGTCTCTCTGTATGTATGTATGTCTGTCTGTCTGTCTGTCTGTCATCAGGCTGTATCTCATGAACCGCGATAGTAAGACAGTTGATATTTTCACAGATGATGTATTTCTGTTGCCGCTATAACAACAAATACTAAAAAACAGAATAAAAAGTATTTAAGTGCGGCTTCCAAACAACAGACATGATTATTTTTGCCGTTTTTTATAGATAATAGTACGGAACCCTTCGTGTGCGAGTTCGATTAACACATAACACTCGCATAACTAAATTAATAAGAAATAAATATGAAAATAGACAATATGTACATGAGAGTAGCACGCCTCGCCGTTACACTGAAACAAATATTATTAATTGTTTTATTTAATTAAAAAGAGATAAGTGTATATGCTACCATTGTATTTAAAGAAAAGGAACATTTCACCGCAGAGATTAAGAAAGGTAAATTTGTAAACATAAATTTGTAATTTGGTAGGTTTTGATGTTCATATGGCTTCAAACGGGCCTGAATTAAACACAATATTTTCAGTATGCCGTTATTTAATTTGTATCAGTTTGGAATGTTGAATCCCATAGTTGAAAAATGAATCAATTTTTTGCTACGTAGCCGCTTCTGCTGTTGCATTTATACGCAGCTTCGTCCGGGGAAGAATCACGGCCTCACATAAGAAGAAGATAGTATTATCTTTTGCACTTGTGGTGAATGTGGTAAAGGCTGCAACTCTTCAGCTTTTTTTTAATGTGAAAGTTGCCAAACGAGCAGACGGTTCACCTGATGTTAAGTGAATACCGCCGCCCATGGATATCTGCTATACCCGAGGGTTGAAGATGCGTTGACATCCTTTTCGGAAATTGGGCTCCGGCTACCTCACTCACCAGACGAAACGCGAAAGTATTATACTTCCACTTTACGCCGGTCTTCTGTGAGGTCGTGGTACTTACCCAGACGAGCCTGTCCATTCCTGCAACAGCCGAGGCTGCTGCGTGGCCCTACCACCGTCAAAAGCTTCTTAGATAGCCATGGGTGGCCGTAATTCGTTTACTTGCCAACTAAACCGCCCGCTCACTTAAATAAATAAATAAATAATAACTTATCACTGCCGGAATTCCGACCAACTGATAAAAATCCAACAGTGGACTCCAGCGTCGGATAGCCGTAAAATTGGACTCAAGGTAACTCATTTGTTCACGTTTGCAACGTGGGGAATTTGAAATTGAAATTGAATGCAATCAATATGCTATTGAAAGCCCCTTTGAGTTGTATATGTTGGCAATAGAGTTGACCAAGTATTTATATCACATTAAAATTATATTAGTATCAGTTTCGTGATCCAATATATTTAGACATGAATTAAACGAAGAAGTAAACAAAGAAAGAAGTAGACTTTCATCTGTTTTATAAGAAGTATATAATTTATAGAGATAATATTGATATAAAACATATGCAAACCTCTGCCGTGGACAATTCACCTATTGTCTGAAATGATAATAAATTTTAAAATATCTTTATTAGAATTGGAAATTCAATTAAAAATAATTTATATTCATAATCGCTTATTGAGGATAAAAATGCTTCCCTCTGCAACAGTTAGTTGACACCTAGTTCAAGGTGTTTGTCACAATTGAAGCCGCACTTTTTCTACATATTTTAATGAAGCTGTACTGTTAAGCGGTTAAGATATATCCGAAAATATGTATTTGAAACAAAAGATAAAAGAGTTAAAAAGCTTTAGTTTATTGAAAATATATCGAAATAAAAACTCAGTACTTACTTGAGCTTTACAACCGGGGCTATTGCACTAACATAGAAGTTTTTTTTAATGTAAGTCTAGCATTACAAGTAAAATTTTAGAGCTTATATGTATTTTGCATAGTATAGATGTCCCACTGCTGGGCAAAGCCTCCTCTGCACAAAGCGCATTGGTGCATGGTCCAGTACAGAAGTGAACCAGCTCTCTGACTTAAATATTGTGTATTTTCACACAAGTATTTGAATTGATTGATTGGAATTGAAGGACACTCTTCTTTTTCCTGCTTTTATCCCTCCTAAAAGGGGTACATGACAGTCCCTCTGTACATGACAGTCCCTCTGTACATGACAGTCCCTCTGTACATGACAGTCATATCGATAATGGTTTTCCTGAGTTTTTAGCCACTACCTGATGTCAACCATCCTTAAAAATAAACATCGGAACAGTTATCTGCTGGTTGCACATATACTTGATTCATATGACTATCGATAGATGAAATGTAAGTTTCTTATGTCGATGAATAAATGATTTTGATTTTTGTGTTTTTAGTTGTGGGTAAAAACTCACTTCCCACTTCTGACTTCCACTGAGATATCATCAAGTTAAAGATTATTTATAGTTTCTATTTAAATTATATATTGGTTTAAAATGGAACATTTTAAAATTGACTACATAGTGGAGTATAGGTATAGCGGATATATATGGCATATATATATATATATATATATATATATATATCTATAATAAGGTATAGCGAAAAGGATAACAAATATATGTATACCTGTGTAGTACTGTTAATACCGATACACTGAAAATAAAAAAAAAATGCGCTGTAGATAATAGTCTAAGGACTGAAAGCGCAAACATCAGTTAAAATATAAAAAGTTTATCTACAGTACATTACCACTGTAGAGAAACTTTTTAATGACATTTTAATTGTCTCAATATTATTAACAATAATAAGTTCATATGCATCATTTACAATCGCGATTTAAATACGATTTAAAATTAAATTGTTAAAAGAATTATTAATGCAATCAGTCAAATGCAACAATCATTTTGATTTGTGTGAATGTATAGAGAAAATTCAGAAAAATAAAAGAAAAGTTGAAAGTTTAGGTAAATTTTGGTACTTACAAATATATAATGCCTATATCTTTTTATAGTTTTGACTAAGGACCTTGATTTTTATACACTTAGTTGGGACTCGAGACCACTGTATCTGGTATAAATAAAACTTGCTAGGTTCTCCCGTTCCTAAGAAATTCGGTGGTGACAGACGGACCGACGGACAACTTATAAGGGTTCTTTTTTTATATTTTCAGGTGTGGAACCCTAAAAATCATTATGCAGGAAATTCATCGTCAAAACATATGTTTTAAAAAATTGTAACAGTCCGATTTTTTATTGACCGACTGTCAATTCAGAGATAGTCTCTATCCGAGAAAGTCAGAAACGAAAACGATTTTGATGTGTAATCGAAATGCAATCTGGTTATAACCGACTAAAAGGTAGGTTTCAGCTAGGCATGAGATATACCTGCAACATTCTATACCCGGCCTCAAAGGTACGGGTATCGCCGTATACCCCGTGCTAAAACCCAGTATCAAAATACCTATAGGTATTAGTTATGTTCAGGCCTCCTTTTGGAGACGCGGTCGAATCAAACGAATTGAACCTTTGGTTGGAATTGGAACATTTAAATGTTTTTTTTAGCAATCAATTTTTTTTTAAATTGAGATTTAATCAGTCTAAAATAAGCTCCATCTTTACTAACGTAAATAACCCTATTATCAAAAAAAAGTAATTCAAAATAAATATTACTGTTTACTGTAACCTTATTACGCAATTATTTATTTAACTTATGGTCATAAAAACAAAGAATAAATTTATCTCAAGGAATTATTTGGTATAAAATGCCTAAATCATACGTTTCAATTCGGGCATGATCGGGAAGAGCCGCCGTAAGCGTTCGGGGAACTTCGTACCTATTCGGTCGGCGGGTTGTCGCGAGCGTATATACCGCCACCGTCGGACGAGGCGGCCATCCATACCTATCGGGTATGGAACGGGCCTCTGCCGTACATACCCGGTGTGCGGGCGGGTTGTCGCGAGCGTATATACCGCCACCGTCGGACCAGGCGGCCATACCTATCGGGTATGGAACGGGCCTCTGCCGTACATACCCGGTGTGCGTACTGGTATGTTCATACTGGGTATTTATACCTGTGCCAGTATATACGCCTTATCCCTAGTTTCAGCGACACTCCATAGTGTGCATTTTAATGTCATTTAATTAGTTTATGTATCATATTAAGGAATTATTATTAAACCGTATTAAAATTATCTACATATATCTGTAAAAGGCGTACTTACCATTGCAGAACAATTTGGAGCATCGCACTTGAATATAAAAAAATAAAGTAATAAGCGTAATATATACTTTAATAAGCATAATATACTTTGTTTTTATTTTTTATACATGGTGTGTTATATGAATGTTTATGTAATCTAATATATAAAATTCTCGTGTCACGGTGTTTGTAATTGAACTGTTCCGAAACGGCTCGACCGATTTTCGTGAAATTTTGTGTGCATATCGGCCAGGGTGGAAAATCAGACAACATCTATTTTTCATCCCCCTAAATGTTAAGGGTGGTCCACCCCAAACATTTTTTTCTACCCTATAAATAATTTATATGGCAAAACAATGTTTGCCGGATCAGCTAGTATCGTATATATCGTTATTGTTTTTTGGATTTAAGCATTGATTTTATTACGACGAATCCATATTGTAATCCCATTACACCTACCACGACTCCTCCTCACGCCCCGTGTGACTGGTAGACGATGCAAATAGGCATTAAGTCCACCCTTTGTAACCCTCTTGTTTAAGGTGCTTTTTTATCACAATGACATACCTTAATTTCGCAATTTTTCTTTCCCCAAATACTATTCCAAAAATTTGGAAATATGATCTGAAACGAGAAATGTTTTTATGTAAAAAAAATACATACAATAAAATAAAACTATGAAATAAGGTTCGCAGGTAATTGAATTGACTTTTTCTGTGGTTCGGAAATCCAATTAAAATTCAAACTCCTTTAATAAACGTTTTCGTGTCAAGCTGTCTATCTGTCACAATTATTATTAGCAATTCCTATTTTGTCTCCTGTAAAATTTTGGTTAAAGAGTACAATAAATACTTTTTTCTGATATTGTCTATTACTTTACCTTACTTCAAGAAAAAGAAAAAAATTAAGAAAATGTTTACAATATAAAAAGGACATATCTTACCGCATTAGACATCGGCAAAATAAAAACCAAGAGAATAAGCGGCAACATTCTAAAGCAGCTACGCAAAGAAAGTAAGAGGCATTGATTGGAAAATGCTAAGTGCACGCTTTAAAATCGATTAAATCCAATCAGATGAAAGATAATAAACGAAATAAGCAGAACGAAATTTTTTTTTTTAATCCATTCGTCCATCCATAATCAATGAAACGTATCAATGAATATAAATGTCAGCGCTCATATTCCCTGTGAATCTTGCACTTCGTTGCTCTCGAAAGAGGTCAGAAGAAAATTGCTTGTGAGAACGTCGCAGAATGTTTTTCTTCTTTATATATCACTAGCGACCCGCCCCGGCTTCGCAAGGGTGCAATGTATTATAGATATAAACCTTCCTCTTTAATCACTTTATCTAGTAAAAAAAACCACATCAAGATCCGTTGCGTACTTTTAAAGATCTAAGCATATGTAGGGACAGACAGACAGCGGGACGACTTTGTTTTATAGTAGGTGTGCGCACAGATAATTGTTCCGGATCTGGCTGCTTTATATCAAGGATAGTTGACGTCGAGCAAGTCATTTATTCGTAACATATTTCTAGGCAAATATTGGTCCCATATAAATATATCGTAACATTTTTGCCACTTTATTGGAAGGTGAAAACCGCACCGCCTCATTCCATGATATTATATACAGATACGAGGTAGATATACCACTAGCAACCTAACACACCTTAACACCACTAACGCACCTTAACTGGGGCACTCAAATTACACCAACTGGTGTAATTTGAGTCTATAAACTGCTATCTGTTTCTGTACCATACATTCTATATCATCTGTCACATTCACTTATCGAATATATGTCATGTAATGTCATGCAATGTAAAGCGGAACAATTTTGAAACGCCGTGCAGTATGGATATGTGCCACCTATATTGTTAAACATATTTGGCCTCATTTGAATTGAAATTTTTACTAATAACAATTACTATTAAAAATTAATACTAATTAAAAAAAAATATATAAAATTTCCATTTTAATGGTTGGTATCTTAAATATTTTTGTATTTATCAAGTTTTTGTTCTATGTAAGGAAAAGGACCCACAAACAGTTCGCAAACTGAACACTTACAATATTCTATCAGTTATCGATGCAATCAGCTTAAGGCGCTGTATGCATTGAATTTTTAACTATTTGGGTGGTGAAGTATGAGGAAGCGGAGGAGGGGTAACGCCGCTTAGCGGCGCGCAGCGCGCGAGTTTCGTCGACGCGCCGCTAGACCATTCATTACCTAGTGTGTAGTCATGGGCCGTAGGACACTATCGATAGTATCATGGAAGGCTTTCGAAAATGTACACAGATGATCCCTATAATCTTTTATAGACCATGATTGTACTTTACTTTTATATTATTATAGGAATAATAATAAACAAACAAATATAAAGTATGAGATAGAAATCAACAATTTTAGAAAAACTTCCTATTAATTATTTTAAATTATCAGGAAACTGATTAGAATTGATTAAAAATACATCTTAAGGTCAAATAAATTAATAAAGGCAAATGACATTTCTTACAACAAAACAATAAATAAACGAATAATTATTTATTTTGATTTAAAGTTTAATTACGCAATTTCATAGTCTCCACGGCAGAAATTACGAATACATCTTTTTTATTCCATATTTTCTTAAACTTTATATCTTTAACTTATCCTTTAATTGTGAAAGACTTACTACGTTATATTAATTCCTCAATTAAATTACATTTAAAAAATTATCGATAAAATTCCTTATATCGATAAACGACAACAATTATAACTAGAATCGAAATATTGTTCCCTTCCGCAGGCATCGTGTAGCCTATTGGTCCGAGCGTCATGGTTGATACATCTTTTTCCTACTTTAATTTGTTAATCAATTAATTATTTTGTTGTTATTTGATAAAATGTGGAAAATACAAAAATTATAAAACAATTATTTTTCGTGTTCGTAAAAGAATAGTTTTCGTTTTAGGGTGAAAAATTAAATATTTTAATAAAACAAATTAAAAACAATAAACAATATAAGACTTGTTAAAAATTTTAAATAATGAAAACTTGGTTTATTATCTGATAGATTGTTCTCCAACTGTTGCGTTCTACGTTAAACAAATACAATAATATTTCGTTGTAATTATTTATAAAAATAAAAAATCAACAAAAATTAAATGGTAAATTAAAAAAAATACCTACAAAAAGAAAATCACCAAAAAATATAATAAAGAAAAATGTAGGGATTTGAACCCAATCCCTATAGAACGATGGTCCTTTACACAGTTTTACCAACTGTTCAAAAATAATACTCCTAAAACAATTCGAAAACCGACTAAAATTTATTAAATTCGAAAAAAAAATTCTTAATTTAAAATCAGGATTTTTTTTATATTATAGGAAAAGGCAAAATAATTATCTGATAAAATAAACCATGGTCAAGAACATCAAATATAATATAATTCATTTGAAATGAATATGTTAAGAATAAAATCAAAACAATATTAAAAAAAATTATTAGAATACATAAAATATTCATACCAGATACATAGGCCTTGGCCTGACGTCATCCAAAGCAGCACGGCACTGAATTTTTTTTAAATAAGTTGTTTTGTGTAGTTTTTTTCGAAAATGTGAATAAAATTTAACTCCTAAAAAAATATTCCCATAAAAATTTACTCCCAATAAACTTCCATTCCACATTTTTTATTCCTAAATTTTGGAAGAAAATTCCTAAGTTGGCATCCCTGCCTTTATACTGTTTGTATAAGACTGATAAACTTATCAATGACAAGATAAGATATTGAAATTACGCTTTAGTTGTTAATTCATACAAATAATTAAAAATACGAAATATGTGAATATATATTTTTTAGTTTCGTGTTTTCGAAAGATCTAATAAAATTATAACCCTCAATAATAAATAAATACGGAACATATTTCGTAACGGTGAGCGGAAGAGGAGCGGCATAAGTCCATCTAGCAAGGCGCCTCAGCGCTCTCTGTTCAACGTGTGGAGTTGGAAGAGAGCCGAAACAACGCCGCGGTGGCGCCGTGTTTTGGCCATCGCGTTCGAATTAATTTTAATGAATTAAATTAATATTTAGAAATATCTTACATCAATCAAAAAATTAAAACAACAATCCTTTTTATTAATATATTCTACACCAGTGATATTAATTTCATTAAGATTTGTTGATGTATTACGTTCATTTTTGGTTTTGAATTTCTCTTTTAGAGGTAGTTTCATGATTTTTCTCTATCGAGAAAATATATCGAATATGTTTTGGAAACAATGTTCCCTTAGAATGTATGATCAAGATTAACATATATTTTTTTTGCTGCTATAAATTATATTAATGTGGGGAAGGATTTCGAAATTAGCGAACACGTTGTTAGCTTTCAAAAATATTATTTATTTTCTTCTTATTGCCTAATACACCTTAATATCGTCTTTTATATCTCAGCACACGTCTTCCGTCTTAACACACTTCGCTCACACCCGCCATACGTCTTCCCTCTCCCTCTTTTACTCAACGTTCCGTTTTCTCTGCATTCATTACCCATTCCCACATTAATTTAATTTTGCTAAAAAATCTTTTGAAAATCCTATTTTTACTGCATACAGCGCCTTAAATTACTTGGTGATTTAATGTTTAAGATTGATATTTAAGAAATAATAATTCCCGCTACCTTCTTTATCATTTGTACAGGCCTTTGCCCAAAATTTATAAAAACTGGGATATGACGTCACTTTCCTGTATTATTTTTTTAAAATCGCTATTGTAAAGCGGCCCCCGCCATCGCTCTGTTAATAACAACGACATATCTCTGACGTTATAATTATAGAAGCTAGTTTAAGTATATCTCGGGAACTCATTACTTGCGAGGTATGAGTTATTGAGAAAGTTCTATTAATTAAGATATACAACATTGACTTGAACTTATTACTTCGTGGTCGACTTTAGCAACGAGAATTTAATTATACTCGTTTGGAAATTTATGCGCTGTAGGTTATTAATTAAATTAAAATATTAATCTAAGGGTACAACAAAGACGATAATATTATTCACTTAAAAAATCCATATTGTATTTTGATTTTTAACAGTTTTTATTCACGCCCCTGGTTGACTGGTGGATAATGTCAATAGGCATTAAAATCGCCCTTTGTAATACCAATATATAAGGTACCAATATAAGGTGATTGCAGCAAACAATACATATTGCATACAGATTGCAGTAAAACAAATGAAAAAGTTATATTGAAAATTATACTGATTAAAAATTCAATGTGTTTTAAAAGTAGGTCAGTTATAAACTTTTTCTTTTATGTGGGAAAGTGGAAAACGAGCTGTTGTTTCACCTGATGTTAAGTGATAACCGCCACACATAGAAATTGCAACACTTGTAGGGTTGCAAATGCGTTGCCACCTTTAAGTATTGTGGGTTGACTTAGAATTGTCAATTATTACGTAACCCTAAAAATTAATATGAAAATTTAAACATTGTGAGATACTTAAATATATAATTTCGCTAGGTGCTGCTCGCGACTACGTCTGCGTAGAATAGGCTGAAGGCGTAATTCAGAGAGAAAGACAGATATACGTAAAATATGTGTATAAATTATAGCCTATGTCTTATTCTGATGTATAAAAGCTATATTATTGTAGTTTCGTTAAAATCCATTCAGTAGTATTTGCGTGAAAGAGTAAAAACATCCATCCATACATACAAACTTTCGCCTTTATAATATTAGTAAGGATTGCGCTGCTAATTACTATATCACACCTCCATAGGCTTGGAAATTTTGAGAAACAATATTGACTCTAGTTAATTGTTTGTAGAATGTTATCGATACTGATTAAGCGCCGTCACTCTAGAGAACTGATGTGTGAAATTGATTTAAATTGGTATAAAGTTGCGTAATGAATATCTATGTTTTGCTGCTAATTGCTTCGCTATAGGCTTGGAAATTTGAGAAACAA